CTTTATTTTCTCATACTTCATCAATTGTGTACCTATGAAATGTTCAACAAAATTATTAATTCAAGTAATAATCTTTGCATTATTTATTCTCAAACATCTATTAAAGCAACATAACCCTGATCAATATTTTTAGGTATCATAAATGTTTTACTAATATATTCCTATATCTTTTTACACTTAAGAAAATTTATCATTATATAACTCCAATATAAATAATTATTTTTATTTAACCTCACATTCATATACTAAAGCGAATAATCTCTTTGAGCAACTATAATCAACAAACAAAGAAAACAAAATTGTAAATGAAAAGAAAATAAAATACTAGATTACAGAAACTGAATATATATTTTCTCGAAATTATACGATCATTCTAAAATTTAAGATTAAACCTCATTCCATGGAATCATATTTTAATACTATGTTAAAGAATTTAAAGAAATATAAAGAAATATAAAAACAAGAAAGGAGGAAATTAAGGTTTTATTGATAATACATAATGTGATTGCAATAATTTTAAAAAATTAATTTCACTTAAATATAAAAAAATTATATATAATTCAAATTGAAAATAAAACAAAATAACTTATATTTTTTAACAAAACATATTTTCAAGATTAAAAAAAAGAGAGAGAGACCTCATCAAGGGCCGAATCATTCCCAAGGTAAAATATATCGTCTCCACCACGTCATCCAACTGGTCCCCTAAAGGTGACTGAAAATTCAACATGGCAGAATGGCTGATGCCTCATCTCTTCAATGCTGCTACTACTGCTATATAAAAAGTGATTCAACAATAATGCAACATCCACTTGCATAATAGATTATTATAACGCATAAAACAAGAAACAAAGTTTCTTAAAATCCTGAAGAAAAACTAATCCTCTACACCTACAAGCTCGAGCAAAATGTCCGACGGCAACCAGATAGTTCTATTAGCACCAGCTAGTTCTTACCAGAGAAGCGACGAAGAGTATGCCACGATACAACACAAAGCGTTACGGCAAAAAAGAAGTGGCAAATGTTTTTTTTATTCTCTTGCTTTGATTGTCATCCTGAGTGCAATCATCCTAGTTTTTGCAATCATTGTGACGCCAAGAACCCCGCGTGTTAAATTAAGCTCGGTTGCCGTCGAACGTAACTTGAGCTGGGCAAAGGTAACTTGCTTAACTCAAAAGGATGCCCATTGGTTATAAATGTGAAAGAAATATTTGGAGAAGCGTTCATGAACATTCAATTATAAGAGTTGTTCGGAATATATGTGTATTTTTAGTAAATCAATTCTGTTTTTATTTTTTTGTGATTTCACTTGATTTATTCTTTTCGCTGCTTTAAAAAGAACTAGAACTGCTATTTTCATTCATTCAAATCCCAATATTTGAGCGAATTTTATGCTATCAAATACAGAGCTGAAACATAAATCAAAGAGCACCAAACAGCCGCAGCCCCAGATGACTGACATAGTCTTTTAATTATTTTCAAAATAAATAAATAAATTACGTCTTTTGATGCCTAAAAAAAATTACTTTTTAAATCGTAGTATGAAAGCTCTGAATTAATTTTTTCATCTTGTATCAATCAGCTGCTTAACATAGTCTTTTAATCAATCAGCTTCTCCATGCATCCAAGCTACTTCGTGGGCCACATTGGCTGCTCTGTGATGGAGAAGAAAGACTCCTTGAGCTGGGCAAAGGTGACTTGCTCAACTCAAAAAGATGTCCATTGGTTATAAATGTGAAATAAATATTTTTAGCTAGAAAAACAAGGAGGATGAATATTGTTGTGAAAATCAGGTCATCAGGCAGTCTGTTCGAAGCTAAGAACATAAGTAGTGACATTAATTCTGGGATGTTGAAGATGAACAGCTATGCCAAGTTGAAAGGAGACGTCCGTTTGTTTGGAATTGTGAAGAACAGGACTGCAGTAATGAGTTGTGGAATGAATCTCAATTTGAGTAGCCGCTCAATCCAAGATTTGGAGTGCATCTAGCTAAATGTATAGCTACTGTGAGGGAGTTGTATAATTATTTTGTTGTCTATAAAAGGTTTTGGGAATATATGTGTGTATTTTTGTAAATCAATTCCGTTTTGTTTGATTTATTTATTTTTATTTTTTTGGTGATATCACTTGATTTATTCTTTTTCGTTACCTTTAAAAAGAACTAGAACTGCTAGACCAAATCTTCAATTTCCCTTTTCGTCATATTTCATTCATTCAAATCCCAATATCTGAGCGAATTTTGCAGCCCCGAATGATTAACATATATCTCAATTTCACGTCTTTTGATGCCTAAAAAAATTACCTTTTAACTCCTAGTATGAAAGCTCTGAATTAATTTTTTCATCTTATATCAATCAGCTTCTTAACATAGAACTTCTTGGTGTGCTCGTGCCCATGACAAATAATTCTAGGTTGTTTCATGGGCATGCATGTCCTACAACGCGTTTCCAAAAAACATGTCTCAAAGCATCCAGGTTACTTCTTGGGCTACATTGGCAGCTTTATGATGGAGAAAGACTCCTTGAGCTGGGCAAAGGTAACTTGCTTAACTCAAAAGGATGCCCATTGGTTATAAATGTGAAAGAAATATTTGGAGAAGCGTTCATGAACATTCAATTATAAGAGTTGTTCGGAATATATGTGTATTTTTAGTAAATCAATTCTGTTTTTATTTTTTTGTGATTTCACTTGATTTATTCTTTTCGCTGCTTTAAAAAGAACTAGAACTGCTATTTTCATTCATTCAAATCCCAATATTTGAGCGAATTTTATGCTATCAAATACAGAGCTGAAACATAAATCAAAGAGCACCAAACAGCCGCAGCCCCAGATGACTGACATAGTCTTTTAATTATTTTCAAAATAAATAAATAAATTACGTCTTTTGATGCCTAAAAAAAATTACTTTTTAAATCGTAGTATGAAAGCTCTGAATTAATTTTTTCATCTTGTATCAATCAGCTGCTTAACATAGTCTTTTAATCAATCAGCTTCTCCATGCATCCAAGCTACTTCGTGGGCCACATTGGCTGCTCTGTGATGGAGAAGAAAGACTCCTTGAGCTGGGCAAAGGTGACTTGCTCAACTCAAAAAGATGTCCATTGGTTATAAATGTGAAATAAATATTTTGAGCAGCGTTCAATTATAAGAGACCAATAGGGGCTTGTTAGGGAAGGATCGATAAACATTACTGATGATGCTAACAGCCAAACTATCCTTCCTCCTACTGTATGAAAGACATGTACCAATAGGGGATTTTGCAGTGACTAATGGAAACGATACACGTACGGTTTGTCTCCAAATTGAAAGCGAGGTGATTTTAATTTTTTTTATTCCTTAATACTGTCGAAGAAATAAGATGAAGATAATAAGGATAATATAAAAGATAAATTATTTAAATTTTATTTCTTTCAATCATGTAAATTTAATTTATTTAGTAATTAAATATAAATCGAACGTTATATTTCGATTGTAATAATAGAGAATTGGTTAGGAATAACTTTCGAGGCACAGAAATGGGCTTCGTTTATAAGAGAGAATAAAACCAAAATGTCCGATTCCTTTACCCGGGCTTGTAAGTTGTGTTAAGCTTACAAGAATGTAAGACGAACAATGATAGTCTAATCCCAAGGCCTGGCTAGCAAGGCCTGGTCTGGCAACTTTTGCATCTCAATATGTAGCCAACTGGGCTATAAATTTAAGCTCTTCTGTAGGCTTTATTTGGTCCAACGCGCAGTTGGTTAAGCCTTCGAACTTTTACCTTCGAGGAATAATAATTTTATCATGTAGTTCAAGATTATTATTTTTAAAAAAGAAAACAAATTCGATTTCTACGAGAAGTTTCATCTCAAGCTAAATGATTTGTGGGTAACGTTCGATTTATATAATCTACAAGGTAAGAAGGAAAAAAGGTTGAAATTGAAAAAACCATTAAAGAATTTTTTTCCCAACAATATCCAGCAATTCTTTGACGATACAGAAATAAAATCATGCTAAAAATAAATAAAATAGAAAATATATTATTAATAAAAAGTATCAACCATTGTTGTCATTGTCTCTGATACACTCTATGACTAGCATTCTCATAGCTACACTTTTAATCCAACTTTTCAATAAAATCTTGAACATGAATTTGAAAAAAATAATGAATATTTATTTTTATTTAACTATATATATATATATATTATTGATAAAGGAAAAGATGATGTTGCTAAATGAGAATTGAAGCTGGTAGAATTTGTTAATTTATTGAGAAACTAACCCTCTGTCTCAAGTTTTATCATATTGTTTTAATAAATAAAAAAATCTTCTTTCAATTTTCCATTTATATTTCGATTTTTTCTTTACTTTTTAGATGATATGGAGATGTTTTATAAACTTCAAGGATGGAATTAAAATTGATACACCCGATGGAAATGGATGGAGGGGAGAAATTAAAACAAAAATGATATATGTGGGGGTTGATTGGAACTAAAATGAAAAATATAAGGTGTGAATATTGAAACAAATCAAAGGTTTTAGATGAAAATGAGAAAATATATAAACTTCAAGGGATAAGTTGAAATTTACCCATGATTTTTTCAAAAACATAACTCCCATACTAACTTTGTTTTTATTTTAGTAAATTAAATAAAATTACCATGTTTATTTTATTTTATTTTATTTTATTTATTTATTTATTTTGAAGGAGAGGCCTATCATGGCCTCTCTCAAACACAACTTGAATTTACACTTACCTTGCGAGAGAAGAGAATCCTTACATCTAGCTATACAACCCAGTAATTTTTTGGATTATTTTATAATGCTTATTAGCTTGTATTAAAATCTTCATTAGCATACTGAAGGTTCTTTGGATTATATTATAATGCTTATTAGCCTTTATTAAAATTCATTGTTAATTGTTCAAAGTCAAGAGTCAAGACGTGCTTCCCCTGCAAACGCGTTGGGACCGAACATAAAAAGGTTTGACGATGCGCTTCACTTGACAGTTATATGTCAAACAATATGGACAGGATTTAACAAATTGCAACAAGGAAAAAAGAAAATTCAATCATTCCCTTCTTGAGTACGGTCATGGCAGAGACAGAGCAGGCCAAGCCCTTAGCCCCGGCAGCATTCCGAATCCGCAGCGTTGAAGAAGAAAACATGCCTGCTATATCGAAAACTCACCGACGAAATTGCATAAAGTGCTGTGGCTGCATCACTGCCATTTTATTAGTTCTTGCCACGACTATTGTAGTTTTAGTCCTCACAGTTTTTCAAGTCGACGATCCTGTGATCAAGATGAACAAGGTATCGGTGCAACGGCTAGAGCTTGCTAATGGGACTCTTCGGACTGATGTGAACGTTACACTTCTAGCTGATGTCTCCGTCAAAAATCCCAATGCAGCCGCATTCAAATTCAACAACGGTACAACAACTGTTTACTGTGGTGGCGTGATGGTTGGTGAGGCTAAGACTCCGCCAGGCAAGGCCAAGGCGAGACGGACGCTACATATGAATGTCACGGTAGATTTAATTCCTAACAAATTATTGGGCGTTCCAAGGTTGATGAGTGACATAGTGTCGGTAAGGAAATTGACTATGAGCAGCAATACAGTAATTGGTGGCAAGGTGAGGATACTCCAAATTATTAAGAAATACCTTGTGGTGAGAGTAAACTGCACCATGACATATAATTTTACAAGTCAAGCGATTCAAGGAGGTAATTGCAAACCACATCTTAGCATATAAGCACACTATAATGTAGTTTTCACATTTTACTGCTACAATTCCTCTTGTTGTAGCTTTTATGCTTTACTTTCATTGATGGATTGCTAAAGAGCAGTCTCCATAAGCGACAGTGTTACCTTTATAGATTGGTATAGGAGAAATCACTGGGATTTTGTACCCTGCATTTGTATTTAGGAGAAATCACTGGGATTTTGTACCCTGAATTTGTATTTCTTTCTTTCCCTCTTTCTTTTTGAAGAATATTGTATGAATTTGTACTTGAAAAGCAGGGTTTGCTCCAAATAAAATTACTTACATCAAATCTTTACTTAATCACAAGCCTAATTGGAAGAGTTTGCACGTCCATCTCAAGAAAGGGGACAATTCCTTGCCATGATCCGATGAAAGTACTCGTTGTGCTTAGACCATGCTTTTTGGAGTGGTGGAATAGTAAAGATGGAGGGGGGGGGGAATATTTTCAATTCCCAGATTTTGCATTGCAAACAACACCGAAAATATCCTATAGTTTATGTAAACCTAAATATATTTAAACAGTATTTGTGACCTTATATTCGAGACTCGGCGCTAAAATATTGAAGAAAGTTGTTGGAGGAAATTTCGTGCTTGGAGAAAACAACCAAAAGAATACTTCCATGTGACCTTCAGAATCTCTGTTGGAGGTCCCATACCGGGCAGTTGATCAATGAGGCCAATGCTTGAGTAATCATCAAGAAAACATTGAGGGTTTGTGGTCAAAATACTGACATTTTAAGTTTGAATTAATAGTTGCTAAGTTGATGTCGTGCGTTATGTGGAAATTCTATTACACGACCTGGGATTTTGCAAAATTTGGACTTTCATTCGTTAGGTTTTGTTTTTTTTTTTTTGCACGGGTTAATTTCATTGCTGCAAATTGATTATATTTAAATTTCATCTCATACATATATAATTTGCAAATAAAATCAGAAATAAATCATTTAAGTTCATACAAATAAAATAAAATAAAATCTTTATAGTGCTAAAAACTTCTCGTGAGATGTTTGGTAATCTAATAACAGTTATATTTTAAAGAATTTTTTACTCAAAAATATTAAAAATATTAATTTAAAAAAATAAATAAAACTTTAATAAAATAATAAGTTGAAATTCACTCTATAACACCCCTAAACATAAAAAAAAATACAGTAGAAGTTTGTATTAATTTCAACCCTACACGCCCCTGTAATCCAATTGTGCATGACTTCAAGTATTCCAGCACTCCTCTTTTCACGGCAAACCTTTAAGAGGTATGAAAGGGGGAAACTTGACTAAAGAATAGTCTTCTTAGGATCTCGGTGGAATAAAAAAAGAGGAAAAGTTTCTTCCTTTATCTCGTTGGTAGCTTGCATTCCTACGCTACGTTGTGAGTTGGGGTGTTCAAAAAGATTGAACAATTGAGAAAACCAAAAAAATTAAAGAAAAATTAATTAAGAAAACCAAGTCAAAATAAAAAATTAATTAAATTAATTTTCAAAACTATAAAATCTTGTTGATTTGATTTAATTTTAATTTTAAAACTGTAACCAATAAACCAAACTTAACCAACAAAAAAATAAGAGAAATATAAATACTAAGAGAAATACTATAGTTAACTTAACCCTAACAATAACAAAATATTTACATATCTTTTGCACAATATCTCCAAAAGCCATTGCCCTCTATTTTCCATCTCAAAACTCAAAAGCTAAGCTATACACACACAAATAAATACCAAACAAAAACTTATATTTTAATCTCCTTAGTTTCTCTTTTTATTTCCGTGCAACATTTCCATCTTTTCTTTCAAGCCAAATAAAAACTCACATTTCCATCTTTTTAGATTCTCTTTTTATTTCTATGTAAGCTGTTGTGAAGATATGATTTGTCTTCTTGTTAAAGGAATAACTTTTGTGGTAAAAATTGATTATAGATTGGTGGCTTAGTAAAAAATACGATTACAATCAATACCCATGAGAAAACGATGGCTTCCTCAATTTGGCTTGCCCTTTTCTTTTGTTTTCTAAATTTCTTTACCAACAAATATTCTTATTAATCTTGATGCTAAAACTTTTGGGGCTTTGTCATATTTGCAGGATTTTAACAACAAAAATAGAGATGTTAATTGTAATCATCTATATAGCAAGCAGATATGAAGAGTTTTCTACTCTTAGGATTAGATTTACTAGTTTTATAGGAAAAAAACTGAGTTTCACCAAATCCAACCGGTTTGGTTTCAATTGATTTTCATTATAGTTTGGTTTAAATTTTTTAAATTTTAAATTATTCGGTTTGGTTTGTTTTTATAGTTCAAACCAAACCGTATCAAATTATAAACAGCTCTAGTTGGGAGTATTAAAAAATTTTCAATGTAAAAAAAAAAATTGTTTATGGGAGAATTTTTTAACATTGTTTTTATATTTGAAAATGGATTCATTTCAAAAAACTTTTTATTAAAATAAATTCTCATTGCAAAATAAAATTTTAATATGTGATTTCAATAAAATAAATTAAAAACTATATTTTTCAGTAAATAATAATAAATTTGTTAATTTAAATCAAAATTTTAGTTACGAAGATGATATATATATATATATATAATACCATGATGCATGCATCTTTTTTTAAAAAAATTCTAATTATAGAACACTATTTTTTTGTTAAAAATATTAGTCATTTTAAATAATTATAAAACATATATTTTTCAAGTTTAAAATCAATTTTGTTTTTAGAGTATCTTTTGTTTATTACAGCGAACACAATGCTTTTAATTGAAATCATCATTTTTATAAAAAAAATATTTATTAATTATTAAAGCAAGTTAGAATAATATCAAAATAGCATGTTCATGTTTTATGTTTCATTGAAAGCAAACAAAAATCATGAATGTGATAAAATCATGTTTAAATTTTATTTTATTAAAAAAATCAATTTGAATCATATTTCCATGAACAATTTATTATTAGTATTATTATTATTTTCATACCAGATATATAATAATTCAAAAGGTATTTATTAAAATTACATAACAATATTGATTTGTTAAAAAATTAAGCTATTTTAAATGAGCACAAAACATATATGTCTCAAGTTTAAAATTAATTTTTTTATTAATATATTTTTTTATCTTAGGGAGCACAAAATTTTTAATGAGAATCATTGTTCCTATTAAAAAGAATTGTGATTTTTAAAGTAATTTAAAAAAATATCAAATTGTGTCCATATTATATTATACGTGTGATTGAAATTTTTTAAAAATCATAAATGTGAGATAATTATGGCCAAAATCTATTTAAAATTAAACCAAGTTTTATGACTAATTTATTATTATTATTATTAGTGTTGTTATTATTATTATAAAATTCATAATATTATTTATTACCTATGTCAAAATCGAAGAATAAATAAATTAACATAATATTTTTTTTCCAAAAAAAATAAAAAAAGTCATGCCAAGCGCATGACACACAAAATATATATATTGGTATATGAAATGATTGGACCTGGTATTTAAAACAAAAGGATACGAGAACAGGGTGGGCTTTCTCACATCTCATGCCACCGATTATAAAGAGGTAAGTTACTATTCCAAATCTGTTGTTTTGGGTCAACTTGGGCCGTCCCCCGAAAGGACACCTTGGACATGTAAATATGATAAGTTTAAATCACCGAGACCACGGAATCCATAAATCTAATTTCATGTTCATAAAAATAAATAAATAAATAAAATCGCAATTCATAGCATGGTGAATGGTAAGCACAATGTCCCTTGAAACCCCCAAGACGACATTTGAATTTATCCATTCAAAATAATGTCTTCATAAAGAGAACATTAGTTGTGGGATACTACGGTGTAATGCCCCAAGGTGGAGTGTTAAAAGTGTCATTTCCTTAGAAACTTCCAGGTGGGGATTCTTCTTCCATGTCTTATTACAAAATGGTAGCGGCCATGTCTTCGGGAAAATGGTGTTAAAGTCTTGTAGATTTTGGCTCATCCTTTACTCTAAATGTGTCCACTCTCAAAGAGATCAGGAAAGAAAAGCGTTCGGTGAGTTTGGATGGTGTTGCTATAAGGCTAGCCAGAAAGAAGGGTAGAGTCCTCCAATAATCCTACCACCGTGGTTGGAATGGATCGCCTGGGCAGCAGCCCCATCAACACATTCATATAATGACTTACACGGTGCCGCATAGTATTTCCATCCAGATGAAGAATGCTCCTTGATCATCCTAGGGACGAAGGAAGACGGTGGCCTCCGACACAACCACCTCGGCGAGGTTGGGCTTTACCCCCATTCCCGCTCCTTTCACCAGAGAACAACTGGAGATGTGAAAGGACTATTTTTACAACAATCCCACCATATGGGATAAGAATTGGGAGCGAGACTCCTCCTTAGGTTCCTTGACCCAATTCCCAGATGATATGGATTCCTAGGTCGAGGTCTCATTCTCTGCTCAGACGCCTAAGACAATACAGGTGACCTTAAACGTAAGCTCTTCCCTGTGCATTAAAAGATTTGTCTGAATTATCAAGAATTCAATAAGATATGTAATTCGTTACAATTCAAGTCTATTTAATTATATTATTACATAAAATTTTTAATTTCAATTTAACAACTTAATTAAAATTAAACGTAACATATAATTAATTAAAATAATTAATTCTTTATTAATTTAAAATATTAATTTCAATGCAAAAACAGGTGACCCAAAAAGTTGTGTTTAAAAGGAATGTGCTGTGCCTCTCCATGGACAATAACTGGGTTAGCAAATTTTCGGCCTTAGATTAAGCTAGTAGATGCTAGCTAGCTTAGGCTTAAAGAAAAGGAGAGGGCACACAGAATCTTATTACTATCTAAAACGACAAAAGGCTTGCCACAAGATAGTGCAGCGGAGAAGTAAATGCAGCAGCAGTTTTGGTGGGCCCAAGCCTGGCAGAAGGAGACAAATTTAATCTCCAACGTTATTTCACAGGGTTGCATCGACATCATCACTAACCTTCCCTAATTCCAAGATTATGATGAAACCATAAAAAAGAGAGAGGGCAAAGGGGATTTGTTTAATTTGGCTATAGCGGGGAGAAATATGGCATCTTCACTCTCTCGATGTCTTTGCTCTCTCTTCCGTCAACAATAGAAAATCTTTTAACTGTTTGGGTTTCCACTTTCCCCTCTTC